CGAATCGTTGTTACTTTTGTTTGTTGCTACGTCGTTGTTGGTCGTATTAGAATACACCAGATTGTTGATTATACTTCAAGCCGAAACTTGTGTGTCGCATAATATTGAAGATTCACGTTGCATTTAAAATCTGAATTCGTATACACAAGAATTCCTGAAATTTTAATAATTCCGTCTTTTAATAAGGACATTTAGTTGAAGTTCGGAAGTACTTTGACGTAGCAGTTTGCCGTCTCCTTCTTTTAAAGCTTGTAGTAAACCGTCTATAAAACGCAATATCCACCGAGTTATTTTTACATCGAATTCCGTCGGTCGTCGAGGCTTCTTATACGATCGTACATCATGAGCTGGGTCAGTCGTGGACGTACGATAAGGAGGTTCGTTCATCCTTTCGTTTCTAGGTCAGTCGTTTCGAAAGGGCCAGTCCTCGTAAAACGTATCCAGAGTATCGGAATCCTTGAAATCGTTGGATGCCAGAGCATTGCCGCGAAACCCGAATAATATATCTTGCTTCGATCGAATTTCTTGCTCCGGAAAAATCTGAAAGACCAGAAATCTCGCCAACACTCGAACCGAGCGAGGAGTACCAATTCAAGCATCTGCTACACTACACACACGTGTAGGTACTATAAAACGCGGGTACAGAATTTTTATTGCATTTTCAAATAATTATCTTTTATTCCTACATCGCTAAAACTATTGTACATTGTTCATACTTTAAGCTTGTGCGGTAGATTTTCCCTTTTTACTAGCTTTCTCGATGCAAATCCAGAGGGAGAACGGGTGACCGCCTAAAAACCCATATTATTTTCGCTCGAACAAGACAGGGATGTCAAAATTTTAACCACTCTACACAAAAGCTAACAATACGAAAGGGATGAACAGGCAAAAATAGCAAAGTTGACCCAGTTGGCAGCAAATTACGCAAATTTGAATTTTCCAAACAGGTACATTAACAAAATAAGTGGATTTTTAAATGCGATAGGATATTAATATCGAGTGTTACGCAGAATAACGTAATTCACGAAATGAAAGTTTTATATCGAGATAAAGTAGTTAAATCAAAAAAATCTAAGAAACTTCTTATCTAAAGAAAAAATGCTTGTTTTACATTTTCCAACAATATACAATATTGTGTAACAATATACAAATTCTTCGTATCGAGTTCTCTGCGATTAAAAAAAAAACTCGTGAGGAATTTCTCTAGCGTATAAATTCTTCGGACTATACGAGCAACCCTTGGAAGTCCCGACAGCACCTCCAGTAACGCTTCCAACTTCCCCGGACCATCCTAGTTACACCTCCAAGTGCCGTGCACCATCTTAACAAACCTTCAAAGTTCCACGGACCATCTCATTTACGTGGGATTACTTGCGGTTGAAACTGTTAAATGAGATATGTCACTAATAACGAGGTTCGCCAGCTATTCCACCGTACTTAATTTCAAGGAAACGACGATACCTCGGAACCCCGAAATTTTAACACCGAAAATTTCTCTCATAGCGTTCTGAATTATACCCAACTACTTAATACTTTTCGAGATTATCTGCGTTGACATTATTTAGCGAAATTCGACAATACATATCAACGAAAATATAACAAATTGCACATACCTACATAGAGCTGGTTACTTTGATGAGAACTTTTATAATGTCTTATAAATGTGTTTCTAGAATCGACTAACATTCACTTTTTAAAATACCATACGACAATCGAATGGAGTGAACGGTACAGCGACATATTTGATCGCCCAGCTACGCAGAATCACGACATAAAGTGTGAGATATTATTCCTACGAATTATGTTTGCCATTCGTTCTTTAGAAAAATCTACGACCTTATTTCGTCTCGTTCCAACGAGGCATAGGAATTCGAGGAGTCCTTGTTTTCGCGCCGAGGGTGGTTTCTTCTGGAATAAACGAACACAGCCGAAAACAATTTGGCGGTAGCTCAACGAAGTTGAAACAACGCAAATAATTCAAGTGGTCGTAAAACCTTGAATTAGCTGGAAAATAAAAAGACAAAGAAAACGGCAAAGGAAGAGTAGAGGGGGTTAATTTGCGAGTCTTTGTTCGATCCACCGAAACCCTCGGTGGGCTTATTAGTGTAAATATCTTGGAGGAGCGTGCGTAATATCAGTCTCTTTTCCGCTCCCTAACCCTTTTACGGTGATAAATTGAACACCGAGGGGTTCAACGGGGGATTCCGACGTCTCGATGCAATTTCCAAGATAAATATTCCTAACCCGAATTCTGTGGCCCGGTAATTTACTTTTTCAGACGATTTCGTATTAAACGGAATAACTGGGGAGACAAACCTACGTGGTATAATATTTTTTGTCGGGGTCTATTAAATCTGTTAAGGTGCCACATTGATCATCCCACCCCATCGTGAAATATTCAATTGCATGGCGCGACTGAAACACATATTTCAAGTACCGCGGGAAGATTGTTTGCTCTAATAAGTTCGTCCTGCCGGACGAACTAAACTGCCGGAAACAGTGAAAAGCTTTCTCGCCGCGAAAATTTGGATTACCGAGAGATTCAGAGATGCTTGCGCGACTTTCAGAATGTTTGTTGGAGAAGAGGAAAGCATGCTTGGAGGTGGGGTGCGAATTAAATATTTCTACCTTAGATTTTGTAAAGTACTTTTGATCGTTTAAATAAGAATGCGATAATCCAGATTAAGGCGTAGGCAGTGGGGGACGGAATAAATATTGCGAAATAAGTTAGCGCAAACGCAATTCCAGTTGATGCACACTGGCCGGAAAACATGAACATCGCGAAAGGACGTTGATGTCTTCATGGGGACAGGCAGTTAATTAACTCTGTAATGGCGACGGGGCGCGCGCAGTGTGTTAAACGAACCGCGTGTTCTCCTAGCGATTAAAGCGTTACCATTAACACGTTTAACTTTTGCTATCTTTATGGATGGGAGAATATCTCCCGCGACGACGAAGCTGATTCACCAAACTGGAGCTTAGCGACTCTATGAAATACTCTGTGGTAAATTGTTCCATTAATTATTAATGCTAACGCACAGTAAAGCGATGTTTCCTATGGGACGATAGGCTAAGAAAGCATCAAAACTCTAAAAAATTGTTCACTGCACAGAACACATTACACTTACAAAGTCTATCGTTGTTTTCTCGTTAAAACGTTGAAACTGATACGAAGAGGGAAACATAGAAAACCGTGCGAACAAAAGTTGTGGATACCTCAAATTGGCCTCGTCCTTTGTAGCGGCGAGAGTACGGAAATATCGATATCACCAGTGCAAACCAACGAACGAATAGTAACGTTCGAATCATCGTCGATGCGAGGCAGTAAAACGTCCGAAAAGGACTGGGTGGACGACTGAAAGAACTTTTTTTCTCGAATAAAACTACGGCGTCGCATGGTTCGCAGTACATTTAGCAGCGAGTCGTAATTTTTATCGATTCATGATTGATTAATTCGTTCCACGGGCGATATTTTCTCGGTTAAATGGTGTCGTGTATCGCGTACCACGACGGTCGAGCTTGGAATTTACAACTCCAGGCGGATTCGAAAGAGAATCCACGCGGACGGACGCGACAAGGTCTCAAGTATTATATCCATCACCTTACCAATGTAACGACGCGCCAGTTATCGTGGGCAAGAAACCACGATCTTTCTATCGGGCCATAACAATTACGAGCTTCCTACTCGCAAGCAGGATCTTATACAAACACTTCTAGTCACAGAACAGACAGGATTTCTGGAACAAATAGAGCAGCATTTTGTGGGGCGCGATAGACCTTGGCCTTTTATTCATGTGAAGCGACTCGGGTATCCTCCGCGCGACTCGTCAAGGTAGAATGAATGGCGAACCGGTTGGCGTGCGTAGCGTGCGTACCGTTGCAGCGGCGTACACATATCCCGAGTTACAGGCACTCGTGCGAACGAGATCGTATTTGCCGCAGTGCAGGACTACAGGCAACAGGGATAGTTATGCGCCAGCCGTTCTACCGTGTACTTTCGGCCCACTCCGATCCGCTCCGCCAGAGAACCATTCGGATATTCATGCGTTCTGAAGTGATCGCCGCCGCCCGCCGCCCGTCGCGTTGTCCGATGCGGAATTACTCGAATAAATTGCGTCCTCTCGGATCCCGCGCGAACGAATACACGATTACACTTGTAATTGACTTTTTCCATCGACAGCAGGGGTGGCGACCTTGCTTGTTCTCCGATCGGTTTGATACTACGGGCTTAACGCTGCAACGAAATTAGAAGCCACGATACTGTACGCCGAGTTACTCGCTCAGAGTGTCCCGAAATCCACATCGGAGCTCGAACAGAGAGAATCGTTATAGAAGATAAGAAATCGATCCTATATGTATAGAATGAAATTTATTGACGAGGTTAAGTGCCAGTAACGCGCTTGACAAAATCACGGGCACCCTTTTCGAAACTTTGAATTCTACGAGAGTACTTCATAATCTCGGCCTTAATTTTGGAAATACAAAATTATCGATTCCGACTTGACAAATGTTTTTCCTGCACGATGGAACAGCTCGCCGACAACGTTGTACAAGCATCCACGTCCCCGCGTGTACGCGGCTCAAAAGTACATTATCGCTCTATGTTCTCCGTCCGTGCGGTATAATTTTAATAAACGCGTTTAGCAGGAGAATGGGATAATTATTTTTTGCCGGTCCAGAGGTTGCGCGGTACCGATTACCGCGCCGTGTGTAATTACAGGCCGCGATGAAAAAGTGCGAACGAAAAAGAAAATAGAAATTTCGCGTGAAATTGAAAAAAAAAGGGGGGGCGGGAAAGCCTTTTAACGCCAAGATATATCCGTGGTAGATGAAGACACCGAATATCTCATTGGATCGGTTGCGGAACGCTCAAGTTCTCATAAAAATTCCCAAAAAGAATGTAACGGAACAGAGGTGCCAGGAGTTCGTCGTTTATAAATCGGGTTCCCGAGGACTTGTCGCGGGTGGAAGCAAGTTGATTGTTTTTTTCTTTTTCAGAGGAAGTTGCGCACAGTGCTCGCCTATTCGAGTCAGATACCATACAGGACTGGCAGACGTCGGAAAAGGAATCGTACTTCGACACAACAATTCCATCGAACGTGACGAGTCTGGCTGGAAAACACGTTGTACTCGTCTGCAGGGTGAAGAACATCGGGAACAGAACCGTAAGTATTTCTCGATTCTCCGTTGTGCTCGGATCATCTCTCGGTTTATTCCGAGCAATGGATTCCGAGATCTTGAAAAATGTAGCAACAGTCGATGCTCAAAGTAAAAATTTGCAACGAATTTGGGATCAACGGAATAAATGCTCGCGATGCGATGGATCGGTCAACCGGACGATGCGTGGTAGGCGGTTGATAGCGTCGGTTCGATCATTTCGTTTGCGTGACACGCATACTACCTATCCGGGGCTAACGAGCGAGAACTGCCGGGTCAAACAACATACACACACGGCCAACGTAGAAACTACATAGAATGTAGAACGCCAATGTTTTCCTAATAATCGAGGAACGAAACGTTTCACGGCGTAGAATTAATTTGTAAATTCCACGGGAACGCGCGTGGAGCGAAATGTTTTGACAGCGGCGTGTTTACCATTCCGGCTGCCGATGGAGAAGAAGAAGCACGGGAAAGGGTGGGATAGATCCCCTGTGGATTAAGCGCGTTGAAAAGCAACTTGCGATTATTCCAGTTATGCAATTATCAGCCGGGCTTCGAGTTTCGAACACCCCGTTGATTAACTTCGAGCATCGTTTCAGAGTATTACGGCGAGCTTCAGCCCGTGAAACCGTGAAGTTGTTTGCATTACCCTTCAGCTATGCGTGTAGAATTTTAACAAATCAAAAGGATTCAAGACATTTATTCCATTATGTAATTTAATATTTGTGCACGATATACTATTTTTACGCAGCAGACAGTTCGTTCGATTTGGAACAGCGAGTATAAAATACGTAGGCGACCACGAATTTTCATGAGTCTTGTTTTTCATATGAAATAAATACATTCCGAAGTATAGGCAGGAGATATTAAACGTCAGATTCAGAAGTTCCTTACGAGCGGTCACGTAGATTAAGTAGAAAAAGAAGAGCACTGATCGGGCGGGCTCCCTCCCGGTTCGAGTGCAGGCAGGCAGGCAGGCAGCGGCAGCGCGTTACATTTTTAATCCCAAAACTCATCTCTATGCAAAGCATGTGCCCGGCACGCACGCGTCCGCCAGGTACGTGTGTGCCGGCTAATACGTTTCGTTGATACCGTAGGTTAGCGTTTGCGCGTGTAACGTCACGATGGCGATGGCGCGAACAACATTGAGATTTCCACAGCCGCGTGGAATTATGCAAAGTCTCGGGGCCGAATGAAAGTACCACCGAAAAGTTTATTCAAAGGTACTCGAACCTCCTTCCGCCGTTCTTCGAATGGTATTTGCTTTAAGAATTGGTCCCCTTTAGCGACTGTGAAGCAGTCGACTACTGTGTCGATTATGTTTTTAAAGAACTTTTATCTATCCAGTCGTGAACATTTTCTTTCGACAAACACAATTCTCTCATCGATTCGATAGATATTGAATTACTTTAAGAGCATCGATCGAAATTTGAAGAAATCGAACAGTTTCGGATGAGCATCGCGCCAAATACGAATGGCTCGATCGAAGTGAATGGACGGTGGTTCCAATTTTCGAGAATCGAATTCAGATCTCGCTTAGTCGGGCTCGCGATGATTGCTTAGCCGCAGCCCAAACGGCCGAGAATAATCTGTTAAATTACGCTGGCAGCAAAAACGATCGAAATTGCCTTTTAAGCTACGCGACGGTCGTTACGGCACGATTCAGCCCGTTGAGAGCGAGAGGAAATGGCTCGGGTTACGGCTGTTATGACGGCTCGGTATCATCGATTAGATTCCGTTCTAATTAACGGCCTCGCGAAGTTCGCGGTTATCAGCCGAACCTGCCTTATGCCGTTTTGCACGCTTCTCGTTGGAAGTTTGCCAATTCGCTTATCCGCTACTTGAATAGATATCATCTCGAGATCCTACTCCATCGTCCTGATCAACTACTTGTCAATGTTACGCACACCAAACACAAATATCCGACTAACCCAACAGTCGTTGTTTCGATTTACAACGCAAGGGTCGACACGCGAACAAACGTTTTCACGGCGTGAGAAAAAAAAACTCGTATAATGGATCGGTCAACGCGAGAACGTCGGTGACGTATCCGACATTCACGTTCAGTATGAATCGCGACGCGATAATGCCGGGGGATTAAATTTTCAAAGGTAAAAATCATAAAAACGACGTTCTCGAGATTCGGTTAAAAACAATCTCCAAGTTGGAAACCGGACAATGTTTGTCCAGGACCGGTAACCGTGAGCAAGAAACGAGGAATTAACTGGACGGTAGCGATGTCATCCAGGCGGAGAAATCCATTTGAAAATTTCCACGAAAACGCCCAGAATTACTTAACGCGTACACGAAATAATCTGGCCCCCACGGTGAATGTACTTTCTCCGTAAATTAACTGGCAAACACAGGTATACCACACGTGGGTGAATGTGTGCACACGTCCCACCCTTTACGCCCGCTCCACCGACACGACGATACTAAGTCACGCGACACACCGACGAATGCACCGCGTTCACACGTACACCCACTCGCGTCGCTGATAGAAAATAAAACGATTTGGTAAACAGTGGACTGTATCCGTAAAGGGCGGACTACGTATCCGCGTGACGGTGTCGTGAGGGAAAATAACGGTGTAACTGGGCGAAGCGAACAGCCAATGAGGAGAACAAAAACGGCTGTTAAAGTTGTACGACCCAATATTGTAAAGGTACGGAGTGCACGGGGTAATAAGCCGACGGCGAAGGCGTCGAACGAAACATAATGCAACGCCGTGCTTCGCGCCGTGCATAGTCTTTTGATACGATTTAATGACGCCGACGCCGACGTTGTGACTTGCTCGTAAAAAATCCCGAAGAGCAGATCTCTGAAGAAAATTTTAAACAGCCTATATGTATTTCCAAGAACATTGAGTTTTGTTCTTAAGATAAGAAATGAACTAAGTATAGTAATTTCCTCCTAATAGGTTATTTACCTATCAATCTTTCTGATTGTATGCTTCTCAAAAGCCACGTGGAATGGTAAAACGACCAACAAGTACAGGTCTATTTAGAGGAATGGATTCTTGTGCAATTGCAAAATGTATCCTACATACAGGACCTCGGTGAAGTAAATTGCTTTATTACCGTGAAACTCTGCGAACCTAGATTTCTGGACAGCTGCAACATATTACAGTAAATGCCTTTTACCAATCTTCAACAAAGGCTGATTCCAGGAATCCGAGAACAATGCGCAAGGACAAGAACAAGGAAGCTTTCCTTTCTATCATTCCATCTCGCTTGAATGTGACACACCTACAAAAACTATGTTACCAATTAGCCAGAGGGGAGACACCTATATTTTCGTTAGAATTCAGTCATCCTTCTTCATAGTTTTTCTCGTCGCTGTATCCACCTAGAATCATTAGTCGAAATTTAGCCATCGAATAGTCATCGTAACTACTTGCACAAAGTTTGATGCTGAGGCCGCGTAGTATTCGCGTTAAGACCTCCGCGATTTAACAAATTAAATGTATGTATAACGGTAGATAAATGTTTCTGTCGAGTAAAGTGGTGCGAAACAAAAAAAAAGAGATACCTACACGGGAGAATTTATTTGTCGGTGTGAAAAAAAAGTGATTACGCGTTTACCAGTGTGTTCCTGCCGATACCTACGTAGGACGCGATTTTTATGACACCTACAGCGGTTAGCGGAAAGCGTGTAAACATGGGAACGGCCGATGTGTGGGTCGCGAATCGTCTAGCGCCTAATCATTTTTGTGTTTTAGGGGGTCGATTAATCCCCAGAGTGCGGTCTGACCTACCTTTTCCGCGCACGGTAGCCAGCTGGGTCGGGGTTAGGTTAGTCAGGGCAACCCTTAAAAATGGAAACAATGGATAGGAATACGGTTGCGCCCGTAGTTTATCCGTTTATGTTTGAAACTGCACCCGACCGTTATCTTCCCTTTTAAAAATAGTCGAGCACGGTATCGACCAATTTAAAAATACCTCGGACTACTATTAGACCACTCGGTCGTTCGAATTCGTTGCAATAAAGCTTTATTATACGGATCGTTTCCTTTGCGCGGCATTAAATTGTAGCCCTTTGCGTCGTATCGAATTTTAAATCTTACCGCTAAAATCGATATCGTCGTTATTAAAGGCGGTTGAATTTGAAATAGTTATAAGTGTTTTTAATTTGTCTGATTGTAGGTGTCGTGGGTAAGGCACAGAGATATTCACTTACTGACCGTTGGACGTTTCACTTACACAAGCGATCAACGTTTCATGGCATTGCATATGCCGCTAACTGAGGAATGGATGTTGAAGATACAATATCCCCAAAAGAAAGATTCCGGTATATACGAGTGCCAAATATCCACTACTCCACCCATCGGCTATCCCATTAGCCTTACTGTGATTGGTAAGTTATCATACGCATCGCTTCGTATTGTTGTATTATTAGATGTAGTTAAGTTATTTGTTGTTAATGGAACTCGTAAGCCGCAAATGCTCCATGTCGAACCAGCGAGAAATAAACTTGCCCTCGTCAACGCCACAATAATAACAGGCTTTACGTGGAAAGAGCGGATCAGCGAACGCGGTTGCAGCTCGTTTAGGAGAAAAGATACCGCTTTCAATTTGAACGATTCTCTTCACCTGTAATTTATTGCTCGAGATTTTCGCGAGTTCCGTGCAGAATGTATCTGGTGATACGGAGGAAGCCCAGGAAATCCTGTTCTAACGTATACGCTCGGAAATTGGCCTGGAAGTCTCGCTTCCTTTATTCGGTCGTACGTGTACGTTACGAGCAACGCGATGAAACTGCAGAATCTAGCAGCCATGACTATCGAAGCGATAATACAATAATAATTATTAGGAACGTCATTCTCGAGATTCTATAACGATAGAAACCAGTCGGAAAACGATTATCCACATTTTGGATCGTTTCGACGGCCATCGAGTCGAATTATTGAAATCCACGAATTTAGGATATATCGGGAAGATAAACGTTTGTCCACGTAGTTTACGACCTTCCATCCGAGCGCGTTAGCTCGCGCAACCGTTAATATAACGCGCTCGTTCCGTTTTACCTTTAACGAACGTTAATTTTTCGTTTCATCGAGCTTGTATTATCATGGTACGCGTTATGGTAGCTAATCTGGTCGTAAAAACAGGACACCGTCTCGTAAAATTCTTCGGTATGAAAGAACGATTACGACGAAGTGCTCTGTACCGCGAGCGATATTCCGTATGAAATTTCCTCAAAATAAATAGACCGTATTGTTGGATAGCTTCGGAGCGTACGTTCGACAACGCTTCCGCTCATTGTCGTCGTCGTGTTTACGTTTCCGGAAGATGCACAGAGGTTTCGCTCGCATTGTCTTTCTCCGACATACCCTTGGCCGTTCTACGTCGCTCGATACGCGTCCTCTCTTGTGTTCGTCTAATTACGTCACCGGCATAATAGCGCGCGGTTTCCTTTCATGTTCTCGTCGTCGCGTGTACGATTAAACCGCCGATATGTTGGCAGTTGCCGCGATATCTGTTCGGTTGTATAGTCTGTCGCGATAACAACTCGCCTAGAAACTGCGATATCCGGGCAATAATTTCGCTCTCGACACCTCTCGACACCTCTCGACAACTCTCGACAACTCTCGACAACTCTCAACACCTCTCGCCACTCTGAGAAATGGGAAAGGCTCTGCGTTCTCGCGAGCCTCCGTTTGTTGGTCCTGCCCGTGCGATACGTTATCAGCCACTTTTCTTCTATACAAATTCAATCACCCCGTTCAGTGTATATTTCCGTAGACGTAATCTTTATAGAATCGGATGTAGGGACATTGTAACTGTGAAACACAATACGGATACTAGGTTGGACATTTGCGTTTACGGCAGTCATGCTGTCGCGTTCGAGAAAAATTCAACAAGTGTAAATCAGCGAAAAACGATCGTTCGGGGAAAGATTGCAAGCATCTCGACGTGGATGAGACCGTTTCGGGTGGGTTGCTTCCTCCGGAATTGAGAGCTCGTTTGAATTCGTATGCACCGCGCGCGCATGAATGGGCAGACGAATTTAAACGACTCCGAGAAGTAGTGCCAACTCGGTGCGTGCTTCTTTTTCGCGCAGTGAATTAAACGCGAAAGAGTTAAAGACTAATCAAAAGAAGTCGACTGTGGGACGAGAAAAAGAAGAGAACTAGATCGGCTCCGCTGGATAACGTTGGGAGGAAAGGAATCAGAGATATCGAGGGACGGGCTGGCAGATTCCGACGATTTCTCTTCTTCCATTTCTTTTCAGGCGCAATAGCTTCATTAGCTTCGGCGATAATTGGCTCCGTTCGTGACTAGCTTTCGCAAAACACTGTCCGATCCATGACGTCGTTATATCCTGCAAAAGCCAATCCTAGGCGACCCTTCGCTTCCTTCCTTCTTTCCTTCCTTTCCTCCCGCTCGTATGCCCGAATGAACTCCAAGTCCTGGATATTTGGCTTTGCGTATAAATCCACAGAATTGCTTTCTCTCTTATTCTCACCATTCCACCGATTTAATACTGATTCGTTCCGGATGTAATAATATCCGCGGACGTTCATCGGTAATCAGTACAGCCGATCGAACCAGACACGGCAATTATTCGGTAACGCGGATACATCATTTTCGTGTACACGTTGACGCAACAGTGTTCGAGTAATAGTTGCTTTCATGTTTGACGTTAATTCGTAACGGAACACTGACAAGTTGTAAGAGGAAAGATTCTGCTCATTTTTCACCTGAAATCACTTTAAGTTGAGCACATCGAAGAAAGACCGATTCGATCTCCGGTGATTTATCGTCCGTCGAAGAAATTAGTTCACCAAGCGGAATCATCCGATTCTGCTGCTGGGATCATGCGAAATCTCTAGCGTATACTGTCAAATCAATCGGTGGGGATGAGCTGTTGCATCGAGTAACAAATTGCATTACGCCAATAAAAATTAGTTAAGCATACATATATGGGACAGAACAGAAAGTTAGTTGTGAAGAGTTAACTCCATGAGTCCCTCCCATTTCCATGTTATTCTTTCATTTTGCTTTAATTTTTTCGGAATATAAGATATTCTTCGAAGCTTCTTTTTCGCATAAACAAGAAGTGTGATGTTCATTTGTAATAATTAGATATAAATCTGCGATTACGGAAACACTATAAGAATCACGAGACAGACATAAGAGGAGTAAGACAAAGTAAAGTATCTAAAGTATTTTTTCCAGAGTTTTTACGTCGATTTCTAGCCACGACCGGTTGGTTCTACGTCCCCTGCGAAATTGAATTTGCGGAATGGAGCCAAGGCGACATTTGCCTCGATTTTTTCCGCGTTCCTCCGTCCCGCTTTTAATTTCATAAAACGAACTTCGTTTCCATTAATGCGAGCAAAAAAAGGGTATTTAAACATTTTAACCTCGGAGCTCCATTACAGGAATAAAGTTAATTCCACGACTGTCAAACCGAGACGCATTCGTTGCCGCTTTTCCCTTCTATTCGGGACCGAAAACCCGTAAAACTTTAATTGTCTTTCTCTTTAGACCGCAAACGTTTCTGATACTTTCCGCGAATACATTTAAGGGACCCTCGGCGAAACATTTGATTCGATACGTTCTCTTTTATTGGGTGTATTTTTCTACGTTTTCGTGAATTTACCGAGGCAGAGGATCTACGATCGCCGTTCACTTTTACAACCTCTTCGCAAACGTCCTTCGTGTGTTCCAACGCAATTGGTCCGCCTAAACCGTTCTGATGCGAAGGGAACCACAGGAAATTATTTGCCGTAAACGCTACCGGCGCTTGTTGACTTGGACTATTAAACCGTGTCCTGAAACGAATTACTTCTTAGACATAATTACACAAATGGCCATATAAGCGAATCAACTTTGTATCGTAAAAGATACTACAATACCCTTGATGAAATTTTCTTCCTGTTCATTGAAAATCGATTTGAAATAACGTTGCGTCAAGGACATCAGATTTTATAGATTTCATCGAATTTATCTATTTTCGTGGTTTGAAATCGAATGAAATCATTTTCATTGGCTCTATCGCACTCCAAGTTATCAATGGTATCGACGACCACCAGTTGACGTTCAACTCTGCGGTAAATTCAGATTTGATGTCTCTGCGGGCACCTTTGCTTTTCTGTGTTCCAATGGAAAACCAATTTCACGTATCACTATGAATCAATTGTCAAACCATCGCGTACAGCGATCGAATCATCTTTCATCCAGCAGAAAAAACGATACATACGTGTCCGTCGATTCGTGAGACGGAATTCGGGAAAATATGTGTATGTATAACCAAAATTAAAATTCTTCATTAATAAACCTCGTCTGTAAATTAACAGCGATGCAAATTGATTTTTCCTCACTGCCATTCTGCGATACATTTAATACAGACGTCAGGGTAGCGGAATAATCTGAAGGAAACATTCCGTTATCGTTAAAACACAGATGAACGTGCGCATAGTTCTCGTGCTAATAATCACACCACTCAACCTACGATTGTACCGCAGTAGATTGTCAACGGAACGATAATTGTAGAGATAACTTTGCTTTAAACTGTTAACGCGAAACTGTTTTACCGCAAATACGCTGGAATCTGTGCTTCCTCTTGCATAATTTATATCACTGCGTGACACGGAATAAGACAAACGAAATAATTATTCGAAACAATGCGGCGTATTCGAATCGTTAATATTCCAAAGCGTTCAGTTTGTGGTTGCATAGCCACTCGTCCGGGAAATTCTGCGATGCCGAGATCACAAGCGAATACAGCGCGAAAAGTCGTATGAAAATAATGAGAACAGGTCCATCACGGGCTCCGAGCAAATTTAGATCCCAATTTATATCAAAAATGGACAAATTATTTGATATATTCTAGGAAGTATCCACTCAATTGGTTACGCGCATCAAATAAATTAATGGATGAATATGATCGTGATTACTTGGCAGAATCGCTCTTCGTTTAAATAAATAATTCAATGGACAACGCAAGATTAGGCCGTAGTCGGTTTTAAAATAGTCCGCAAATAATTGAATAAAACTCTCAAATGTGTCGAAACGTTGTTTCAGTAGTTTTACACATTTCAGGGAAAGTTTGAGAACAAGTTAATTCAAACACGACTACATTGGTTTATAAACTCTTTGGAAGTGAGTTCTAGAATTGCAGAGAATTCGTGGTTTCTTAGATACTTTAAGAAGGCGATGAATTCCTCTGGAATCTGAGCGCAATTTTACCGCAACATTGCGTAACTCTAGAAGCAAGTAAAACGAATGTAACGATTACGAAGATCTCGATACTTAGCTCTCAGTCGTTAAAAGCTCGTACCATTACCAAAGAACGTTTTGTTCTTTAAGGGGCTTACAGGTGAATGTAACGAGAATGGGTCGAGACTG